TAAGATTTCTCTTTTATTTTTTGCTGTTAAGTTGTATGAGTTCATTAACCCCTTATCAGATATATGATCTGTAAATATTTTCTCCAGTTAAGTTGCCTTTTCATTTTGCTGCCGTTGCTGGGCAGAAACATTTTAGTTTGATGTAGTCCCGTTTCTTGTTCATCTTTTGCTTAGTTCTATCCATTAGAAAAGTGGGACATTGTAGTCTTTAGTTATTGTTGAATTGTGTATTTCTTTTCATATATTTTAAGACTCTGTTATGTTGCGCCTATATAGTTATAATTGTTCTATCTCCTGATAAATGGGCCCTTTTATCGTAGACTATTCCTCTTTATCTTGAGCAGTCCTTTTGTCTACAGTCAATTTTACTTTTCTAAATGAGTAGCCACTCTGGCTTTCTTATGGTTGCTGTTTTGCATGATGCTTATTTTTCAACCAATTTGTATCCTTGGCTCCAAAATCTGTCTCCTGTTGACATTATGTGATTGGCTCTTCCTTCTTCAATTCCAGCCTGTCTCTTCATTGTGATTGGACCCACTCACATTTCATGTCATTACTGACATACAGTATCCCCCCCCTTTATCCACAGGGGATACACCCCCAGACACCTGAAACCACCAATTATTTCCCGAAGGCTAATTAATGATTGTGAGCATCTTTTCGTGTGCTTTTGGCCCATTTCTGTATCTTTGGAGAAATGCCTCTTCGGATTCTTTGCCTATTTTTAAATTGGATTGTCTTTTTATTAGAGTTGTAAGAATTCTTTTATGTTTCAAATACAAGTCCCTTATTAGATTCATGACTTAGAATTTGTTCCTCCCATTCTGTGGGTTGTTTTTTCATTGCCTTGACTTACATGTGTGTATAGTTTATCATAATAATGTGGTAAGAATGATGAGTCCTGTGCTGATGATAATGTTATTGGGGTGGGAAAACGTGCTGGTGGAGTTGGAAAATCAGACCTTTTTTCCAGCAAAGGCTACGTTTGAACATTGCTGTGGACTCCGCTGTTGGAAGTAATTTGCTGCAGTTCAAAGTCCGGTGTGTGAAAGCTCCCCTCCCCGATGAACAGTAGTTCTTGAGCATTTTCTGTATATGCCCCATCTCTTAGGAATACAGCTGTTGTGTTCCAGAAGAAACGTCTGTGGTTACATAGCCATTAACAATGACTTAGAGTACTTACCATGGGAAAATCATAAAAAGTGAAAAGTCCAGTTTTAGAAAAAGTGCTTCTGCATTAAAAGCATTTTGCTAGAGTTCCTCTTCAAGGTGGGGGTGTGAGGAGAGGAATGGAAGTTTCTTCCTAATTTTTCAGCATCATCAGTGCATGGCCTGGGAGTTCACGGTGGGCACCCTGAGCTTGTGCTGTCGGGTTAGAACCCTGGCTCTTCCCCTGTGACCGCCTAGTTATCTGCCCAGTTTCTTTACTCTTGAAATGGGGCTCATTATAGGCTATTCTGAGGGTTAAATAAACTTGTGCATGTAACTCGCTTGGAATAGACCTCACACGAAGTAAGCACTCACGTTAGCGGTTATAATTGCCCTTAATAAGAAAAACTGTATTGAAAAGTATTGGAATTGGGGACTGAGTGAGTGTTGGAAAAGAAGTTATGGCTGAGTGTGAATGCCCTTGAATCCTAGTGCTTACGTAACAGGTGGAGAGGAGGGAGCAGGCGCTGTTTCAGAGGTTGACGGTGTTGGGAGTGGAGACCAGCCGGGCTGCTGTTCACATTGGAGTCCGGCCTGGAGGGGTGGGCATGGGAGTGGAAAAGATAGCACTGATGCCGATGGGAAGGGGTTTGACCCACGCCAGCCCCCCATTTTAGTGTGAGCACCTGCTTGTGTGCCAGTGAGGCCCTGGCATTCAGTGAGGAGCAGAGTTCAGGGAGAGATTCTAGCCTATAAGGACCATTTGATCAGAGAGAGAGAATAATAACCGGGGAGGGGAAGAGCCTTCCTTGTCCTGGGGGGGTGGAGGGGGGGCTCTCTGGTATTAAGGACTTGCCATTGAAAGCTGCTGGAGAAAGCCAGTTCAGCAAAGTGTAAAATAACTTTTAAGTGTCTCGCTTATTTCAAAGAAAGAATGCCAGCCTGGTGGCTCAGTCAGTTGGAACATCGTCCCCTACACCAGAAGGTTGTGAGTTCGAGTCCTGGTCAGGAGGCAGATGGTTAATGTTTCTCAGACCCCTCTCTCCCCCTCCCTCTCTCTCTCTCTCTCTCTCTCCCCTCCTTAAGAAAACAAACATAATGGTAATCTTGATCCAGGTAGAAGGTGATGTTTTTCCCATCTTGGAGATGTTGAGGTGCTAAGTTTGAATATGAAAAGATGCCGTGTTCTCCGGGCAGCCTGATCTTGCCATTTGGATTAAATGGCATTTATTAAGAGATGTATCAGTAGTAGTCTTGCATAACTTAGTTATATCTTTGATAATTTTTTTCAGATACTCAAAATCCTACACAGTACTTATAAAAAGGGAAAAGAAAATTACATTTTAAAAATTTATTGTGTGCTTGGTGTTTGCAAAATGCCTTTATTAAAATAATTCTCCTGGCATTTTTGCGGATAACATCTCAGTTGGAAAGACCTGGAAAAATTGTGAGAGTTTCTTACTGGCCTTTAAGATAGGCAGCTTGTGAGGGGCAGAGGTAGGGTTTTGAACAAGAGTTGTGTTTGCGTCCAGAAATTAGTTTTAATGGATTCAGTGTTTTTAAAGCTCCTCGGATGATTTTACAGATTTGACAAATTTCTTATTTTTTTAAAAAATATATTTTATTGACTTTTTACAGAGAGGAAGGGAGCGGGATAGAGAGCTATAAACATCGATAAGAGAGAAACATCGATCAGCTGCCTCCTGCACACCCCCCTCTGGGGCTGTGCCCGCAACAAAGGAGTGAAAATTATAAATGCAAACCAGAATAGAATGGTGGGATGAAGATGCAGTTTTGCTAATCATCAGAAAATAAAAGCTTTGCCTATATATTACCTACATATGCTTTCAGCCCCTGGTCGGAATCGAACCCGGGACCCTTCAGTCCACAGGCCGACGCTCTATCCACTGAGCCAAACCGGTCAGGGCCAAATTTCTTATTCTTAAGTCCCCCCAAGCTAGCCTATGGAGGGAAAAGACAGGGTGGGGCTGGTGGCAGTCAGAGCATTGATGATCCGGGGGTCAGACCTTACTCTCCCTCCACCAGATGTTCATGTCCACGAAGCTTTGCATGGGATCTTATGGGAGTGAGTCTTCAAATCATCCACAGCTTCAGTTAAGACCAACTGGCAGAACACAGTGTTGGTAGCTTAGACACAGCAGTTGATGAGAGGGATGGCGGAAGTGAAAGGGGAGACAGTCTTTTTAAGGTTTTTGGAGAGAGGGGAGGGCAGAGCTTGAGTTTTTTCAGGAAGGACTCCAGCATATGTGTAGGCTAAGGACAAGGCCTGCGGGAGAAGATGAGGGGGTGCTGGGCACCGCCCACTGTGGGGAGTGTACAGGGCCATTTTGAGGCCAGGTTGGGGAACAAAAGGAAGAGATTGGAGCAGATTGCAGTAGAGAAGGATGGAGTTCCGCTGGTTAGCTGATGTTCAAATAAATTGCCGGCGGACCAGAATAGCTAAAGATAGGCAAGTTTCTTCAGGCTTTTCAGATCGTCTATGTCACATAACTTCTTGTAACGCAGGGTGCATCAAAATGGGAAACAAAAGCGAGAGGTTGCTCAATCATGTCATCTTTTGTTTTTCCACTTCACATATGACAGCTTTTTCTGTCTGCCCTTAACCTCATCAGCACTTAAAATTTTTTTCTGTTGACAAGTGAAACAAAATCTTGTTAGAACCCCATCTCTGGGTTGAGTAATTACATTTAATTTTGAGGTGTAAATGTTAGGCTGTTCTGGGGTAAGTGGGGAGTGTTGGCCGCTTTACTTATAGCAATATATACCTATAACCAATCAGCTGCAGTTCTCAATCTAGTGGCACATTAGAATCAATTACTGGGGCCGGTTTTTTGTTAGTTAACCCTCACCTGAGGATATCTCTCCTATGGATTTCTAGAGGGGGGCTGGGGGAGAAGAAAGAGCAAGACAAATATCTGTGTGCTATTATAATCCATTTCATCTGGAGAGGGGCTTGGACGTCAGTGCTTCTTAAAGCCCCGCAGATGATTTTCCTGTGCAGCCAAGGATGAGACCCTTGGCCTAGAATTGCCGGGCTAGTGGGGGTCCATGGCCCTATAGTTTGGTAATGCTGCGGGAGTTCCTGAGGGCAGGACCTGGCCCACAGTAGAGTGTCGTGGTCACTTGGCAGTTGGCCACTTCACAGATGCAGCTGCATTGGAGTAATAGTATAGAGCAGTGATGGCGAACCTATGACACCCGTGTCAGAGGTGACACAAGAACTCATTTTTTGGGTTGATTTTTCTTAGTTAAATGGCATTTAAATATATAAAATAAATACCATAAATATAAGTCTTCATTTTACTATGGTTGCAAAGATCAAAAAATTTCTATATGTGACACGGCACCAGAGTTAGGGTTTTTCAAAATGCTGACACGCCGAGCTCAAAAGGTTCGCCATCACTGGTCTAGAGGTTGAACCTTGAAAGAAAAGGTCCCCCAAAGTTTTGAAGTTTGTGTTAAAACCATGGGTAAGCTTGTTTAAAAACCACTTGGTGCCATTGATGATGCTAGCTGTGCAGTGCTTCCTGAAAAGTTTTTAAAAATGAGGTTTTATCACCCTTGTTTGTCTTGAGTGTACACATTTTTGCAGGCATTTAAGGCATTAGTAAATGGAGGACAATTATGTTTCCTTGATATGACAGCTGATGTCCTGTCATCGGTTTGTTAAGTTGGATGTAGTATTCATGAAACTGGAGCTTTTCACTTTGCCCTCTCATTTCTGTAACTACCTTCTCCTGGCTGATGTCACTGGTCATATTAAGTGTGAACAGTTCCTTAGTGCATGTATTTTCTATCTAAAACAAATGTTCCTTTTTTCTCTTCTGCTTGTAGGTTATGCAATGGTCTGTGCAGGATGGTCTATTCTTGAATTGGAGCTTCCGAAGACTGACAGATGCTGGTACTTCTTCTATAAGTGGACTCTAATTTCTTTTCTCAAGACAACTACATAAGCAGACAAAATTGCAAAGATCTGCCCTGTGTCGAGTATGACAGCCACGACTCGTGGCTCTCCGGTAGGAGGGAATGACAACCAGGGCCAGGCTCCTGATGGCCAGTCTCAGCCGCCCCTCCAGCAGAATCAGGTAGGACTTTGAGGAGGCTCGTCACAGTTACACTGGTATGTCTACTGGTACCAGGGGATACTTAACGAATGGACCGTGTTCTGAAGAATTTGTAAAACAACCATAAACCATTTTTAGAAAAGTCAATGTTTGCTGTCTCTCACAGGAACAAGAAAGCTCGGGTGTTGTAGATGGTGACACTTGAGTATGTAGTCCTTTTTCTGTGAGTCGTTAATTTTAAGTAAAGCCATGTGTCAATTTTGGAGGAAAGCAAGAAGTCATCCAGCCCTATGACCCTGGGTAACTGATATAATAGATTAGGCATTCTCTAGTCAAGTGTAATCAAACAGAGCTGCGCAAGCTCTAGCCAGTATGGCTCAGTGGATAGAGCGTCAGCCTGCGGACTGGAGTCCCAGGTTCAATTCCGGTCAAGGGTACATACCTCGGTTGTGGGCTCCGTCCCCAGTAGGGGGCGTGTGGGAGGCAGCTGATTGATGATTCCCTCTCATCATTGATGTTTCTCTCTCTCTCTGAAATCAATAAAAATATATTTTAAAAAGAAGGAAGGAAAAGAGCTGTACCTCCATCTTCCTCTCTCCCTGCCATTTTAAAGAAGTGAGCAGGTCATGTTTTAATATTTTTCCAAATAAATGTGTCAACTTTATTTCTCTTTCTCTCCAGTCCCCACTTTTAAGACATAAAAGCACTGAAGTCCGTGGTCACAGGTCTTGGACAGAGTTAAGTCTTTCCTGTGTCATGAATTTGTTAGCCAGTATTCAGGTTTCTTTAAACATAGTCTAAGGTTGGGTGCCAAAGATTTCTATTTTTAAACCAGGAGCTAGTAGTGAAGTTTGAGTATCTTTTGCTCCCTTTTGTTCCAAGCTTCATACCTGTGTTGTGCATGGATTCCTAATGTCTTTTGCAATGTTTATGGCTTTCGTGGCTTTAAACAAAATTAAATCTCTATTCTAGCCTTATTTTTATTTAAGGTGTTATTTTTTTTTTTAATTTTTTTTTACTGATTTCAGAGAGAAAGGGAGAGGGGGAGAGGGATAGAAACATCAGTGATAGCCGAAACCGGTTTGGCTCAGTGGATAGAGCGTCGGCTTGCGGACTGAAAGGTCCCAGGTTCGATTCCGGTCAAGGGCATGTACCTGGGTTGCGGGCATATCCCCAGTAGGAGATGTGCGGAGGCAGCTTGATCAATGTTTCCCTCTCATCGAGAAACATCAGTGATGAGAGAGAATCATGGATTGGCTGCCTCCCGCACGCCCCCCACTGGGAATTGAGCCCACAACCTAGGGATGTGCCCTTGAACGGAATTGAACCCGGGACTCTTCAGTCTGCAGACCAACGCTCTATCCACTGAGCAAAACCAGCTAGGGCTAAGGTGTTCTTGATAATTCTTAGAGCTCTTGGGTTTCAATTTATTATTATGTGGTATTCCATTTAATATTATGCATCTACATTATGTTCTCTTCTAATCTTTGCAATTCGGAAAGTGATGATTTAAACAACAAAGGAACAAAATAAGTTACATTCTTAACTATCGAGTCCCTCTTTCATTTTCTTATTCTCTACTTTTTAATGTTAGAATTTTAGTTTCGATATTTCACAAGATTTGACACTGTTGGACCCAGAAGAAGGAACTATAGCATTAATCACTTCCCAGCTTAAAGCTTTCTTTTGGGATATGCTTTTACATATTGGCGTTGAAGGACTTGCTAAAATCCATCAGGTTCTTTTCACTTCACATGTAATATTTTTTTAAAGGGTGTTCCCTCCGGGGGAATTTTAGGCCCCGGTGTGTAGGAACGCTTGGTGGCACATGAAATAGCCCTGGCAAAGGCACTGGCTGAGCAAGCTTGGGTGCTGCTGGGTGGTGCGCTTTTCCGGGATGGAATTGGGCAATGCACATGCATATCAGTAGCACTAGGAGATCATTTCTACTGTTGTAGTAGTTCTATGTCCAGGATCCTATCCTAAAGGAATGATTGAAGTTCAACACAAAGATGGATGTATAAGAAGATTCATTGCAGCTCTGTTTATCTTAGCAAATAAAAGTTGCAAAATACTAACTATCCTTTCATTTGTTTAATCATTTAATACGATATGGCATTAAACTTTTTATAAAAGATTCTTAATGATGTGTAGGAAAATGCCCAAATGTCAAATGGAAAGACACAGGCTTAATTAAGCAGGTATCATCCTCATTTTATTCAAACTATATACATATGTAGGCGGGGGTGTTTTTTGCTCATAGAACAAAGATTGGAAGGAAATAATTTTCAATGTTATTGGTGCTTATCTGTTGTTCCATTACAGGTATTTTATTTTTGTCTTTATAATTTCTGTGAGCATGTATATAGGGATGTGTAAAAGTAGGTTTACAGTTGTGAGTACCTGAAAGTTTATTTATAATATATACACCAGGGGGAAGGGGCTTTTAAAAAATAATAAGCCAGCGTTCCTAAGAATGAAGGTCCTAAAACTTTATTAGGTTGTGAAAGGATGCACAGCTGAAGTAGGGTGAAGAGAAAGATGAACTAGAAAGGAAGAATGAAAGAATAAAATTAGCCACATCAGGTGAAAATGATGTGATTTATTTAGAAACCACAATCATGAAGTTTTCAGAGTTTCTGGAGAATGATCTGAGACTAGGGAAAGTATAGAATAAAGTTTTTTTTTCTCCTTCAAATTAAAAAATAAGTTATAAGTCAAAACTTTTAAATCTGTAAAATGTGATGTTTTCTGTTTGTGTAATAAAGTCTTTCGTGGTGGGAAGAGTAAGCAGAACAGCAGTCTACATTGTGATTAAGAACACAAATTGCAGAATGAGATCTGGGTTCAAATCCTGGCCACAGTTGGAGCTTTGTAACCTTGGGCTAATTCATGATGGTCTGAGTGTGTCTTTCCATCTGTTAAATGGCAGACTACTTCCTTAGGCTGTTGAGAATTAAATGAAATTCTTTTAAAGCATTGCCTGAAACCTAATATGTATGTCATTTCCCCCTAATCAGTATTGGTGTTTGAATTCTTAGATGTACATATGTTATAGAAAGCTAAATCTGGAATTGTTGATTTTTTAGACGCCATCGCCTGATTCCTCCAATGAAAATTCCCCGGCAACTCCCCCAGATGAGCAAGGTCAGGGTGATGCTCCCCCACAGCTGGAAGAGGAGGAGCCTGCGTTCCCGCATACTGACCTCGCCAAGTTGGATGACATGATCAATAGGTGAGTTGCTTTGGTTTGGCTTTGAGTGTGTGTTATACTCAGCATAGTGAGGGGTAGTGGATAGAAAAAGAGAAAGCGTGGACAGGATACCATAGTCACCACACTGCCTCCTTAATAGCCTGGCATTGTCAAGTAAGTCATTGTCAAGTACTTAGAACCTGTGGTACTTAATGGATTTTAAAAATGAAAGGGCGTTGTGCCAATAGTTTTCAGATTGCTCGCAACCACAGCTGGTATGCTTCTGCAGTAGAACTGTGTGTGAGATTCCCTTTGAGATTTTAGGAAGTTTTTTCCTGACTGGCATGGTGGTTGCACGGCTGCTGGATGACTTGAATGATGTTTGCATGGCTCTGAGGTAAACCAGGTCATAGAGACCCTAGCTGGTCGGGCCTCCGCTGGCACCAGAGACAGCGCCGCCAGGATGCTGCCTGCATCCTTCGCTGCGTCCTGGTGTGAGGGAGGCAGCGGGCTGGGTGCCTGTGGAAGCGGATGCGTGAATTTGGAGACTCCCCTCCCACTTAGCCTGCAGGAAAGGTTGACAAAGTGATGAATTAAAGCAGAAATCAGTCATTGCCTCCGAATTTTGTTCTTTGTGAGGAAATTGAAAACAACCAAGCAGTGACTCATCATAATGTCTTCTAATCTGAATCCTGAAAGAGGACTTTCCCACGAACTCTAACAATAGCTTATCCACTTAATTGACATTTGATTATGACAGTAGGTTTATATTCTATTAAAATAATTTTATTTCTCCCTCTCATAGCTGTATCTTCTGTTTGACAGTTCCTTAAAAGCATTCAAAAACAAGTCTCACAGTGCAGATACTCTGCCAACCTTGTTTCAGTATTTTAATGTTATTTGAATATTAGTATTTTCATGATGACGTATTATAACTAGTAGCTCATTTATAGTGCACTAATCAACATCTTTTTATACCTTTCAAACTCGTAGGCCTCGGTGGGTGGTCCCAGTGTTGCCGAAAGGGGAATTAGAAATGCTTTTGGAAGCTGCTATTGATCTTAGTAAAAAAGGTGAGTTCCGGTGTTGGTAGCTCTGCATAGTGTGCGCTGCTACATAGCCTTTCACTCCATCGCTGAGCACTTGCCTTTTCCTCTTTCACATCTAACAATGTTTTCTTGACGTGGCTTGCGATATATGCCTAGAGCAGCGGTTCTCAACCTGTGGGTCGCGACCCCTTTGGCGGTCGAACGACCCTTCCACAGGGGTCACCTAAGACCATCCTGCATATCAGATATTTACATGACGATTCATCGCAGTAGCAACATGACAGTGATGAAGTAGCAACGGAAATAATTTTATGGTTGGGTCACAACATGAGGAACTGTATTTAAAGGCCCAGAAGGTTGAGAACCACTGGCCTAGAGCAAGGGTTCATGTCCTTTGGACAGCCTTAAGGGTGTTTGTAAACTTTCTGAAGTTATACATAAAATCTGTGTACATGCATATTTAAAGCAAACTGCCTAGCTTACATGGTTTTTTATTTAATACATAGGAAAAGTTTGATTTTTCTCTAAAAAAACTTGAAAGATGAGGTCAGTTTTTTTATTTTTTTCAATAAGCCAAGAAAAAGGCATCTGGTCTTTTTATTCTATCATCTAGAAGTAAATACTTAATGTTGGAATTAATCTTTTTCCCCAATGACTTTGGTCTACTTCAGGTGCAGTTGAATTCTCCTTAGCAAAGGACTACTATTGTAGCATTCCCTATTCACTTTTTTAGGAATTGGAAATTAAAATAAAGGGCAGTTACAGTTTTTGAAATAAATGTTTTTATTGATTTCAGAGAGAAGGAAGAGGGAGAGAGAGAAGCATCAATAATGAGAGAGAATCATGGATCAGCTGCCTCCTGCACGCCCCACACTGGGGCTCTACCCTGTCACTTGGGCATGTGCCCTAACCGGGCATCAAACTGTGACCTCCTGGTTCATAGGTTGATGATCAACCACTGAGCCACACTGTCCAGTCGGACAGTTATATTTCAGTTCCTGAAATAGGGTAGCCATGGATATGTTCTAGTTGTCAGTAGGTATAAATAATGTAAAAAGCAATGAAAACGCATGATCAGATTTCAATTATTTTCCACTGCCTCAAGTATTTTATGTTCATTTGCACATTTATCAATTCAAATTTTTAGAGACTTCTGTCCTTGACATGATCTAGGCACTGGACATATATCTTCCCCACCTCTATATTTCTTTTCTGGGACTATCTTGTCATTTCTTTTATATAATTAAAATCCTAAAGCTCTAATCGGCCTTTGCTAGCTGTCAGTGAATAGTTTATAATTAGTTACTACCTTTTATTGTATAATTAGACATCATAAAACAACCAGAGAAATATTTTGTTTACATTAATTGTTTTCCCCTTTTCCTTAGGCCTTGATGTTAAAAGTGAAGCATGTCAGCGATTCTTTCGAGATGGGCTCACAATATCCTTCACTAAAATCCTTACAGACGAGGCAGTGAGTGGCTGGAAGTTTGAAATTCACGTGAGTCTTGCATTTGGACTTTAAAAAATTCAGATTTATGAAGTGATACTTGTATTTTTCATTCATACACACACACACACGTATTTGGATATATATATATATATATTTGATCCTTTGGTTGAATTAAAAAGGTTTGAAAATGCAGAAGTTTGAGAATGCTTTTTATAAATTATAATTTCTATTGAAGGAAGCGTGGTCATTTAGAATGAGTATGAGCTTTAGATTTAGGAAACTTGGGTCTAATCTGCGACCTTAGGCAAATCACCGCATTTCATTGACATGATGATGCTCTTAGTTGTGAGGTGCACTGCTCATTTCTTATGTGCCACTAAGGGAGAAACATACCCAAGATGGGGCTCTAATACCTGGGACACTAGGTTAATGCAGAGAAATCAACCCACCATACAGAGACAGCAAAGAAACCTACATGCCTCAACCTTGGCATGTGACAGAGGTGAAAACGGAAAATTTAAACCACAAGCCGCTATTCAAACATATTTGTAGTCATGAATTCAAATCGTAGTTGTGGCACACAAAAACTCTCCAGTGGAGCATTGAAAGCATTCTCAGGTGTCACCAAGTGACTGGCGAAAGCACACAAGCCCTCTATGGACACCTTCAGTCTAGCAAAATGCACTGTAACTATAGACCTGGAAACTTGGCAAATGCTGGCACATTTTCGCCTTGAGGCTTAGCAAATCTCCACCTTGGATAATTGCTGTATTGTTTCCATTTTAGAATTGCCGCCTCTAGTATATAAATTCCACGAGAAAAACAGTGGTAATTTGCATCTTGTCTGTGGACATACCGCATTGCCTTCTTGGTTTCTAAGCCGTTCCAAATGGCTTTTGAAACTAGGTACTATGTAAATTATAAAGTAGATGCAAATTTGTCTTTTGATATGTCCGTTTGATCCCAATATTAGTGAAGTGTCCAAATGATCAATATAGAAGAATGGAAAGAGCATTACAACATAATTAATGAAGATCAGAAAGTATTTGTTTGGAATTGCAATGTTTTGATGTAGTGCATCACCTTTCCCCCATATCCATAACAGAGGTGTATTATCAATAACACTCATCGCCTGGTGGAACTATGTGTGGCCAAGTTGTCCCAAGACTGGTTTCCACTTCTAGAACTTCTCTCCATGGCCTTAAATCCTCATTGCAAGTTCCATATCTACAATGGTACCCGTCCGTGCGAATCCATGTCCTCAAGTGTTCAGTTGCCTGAAGATGAACTCTTCGCTCGTTCTCCAGACCCTCGCTCACCAAAAGTGTGTGGTTTGTTATTTTCACAATTCCCTGTTACAGTTGCTTTGCTGTGCCACAGAACTTTAAGCGATTGAACCTACTAGCAATGTAGGGAAGAATAATGTAATATTGCTCTTAAAGAGGTCTGCATTATTTTGTGTTTGGGGATTTCTTTTTCTGCTTTATTGAGGTATAATTGACAAAATAGCTTTGGACTGGATTTTTTTAAGCTTTCACTATGTAGTTAGTCCCCATTGTTCTGCCCAGCCTCTTGGGAAATCGTGCTGATTTGGGTTAGTATAAAGCAAACCGTATTTTTCCTTTTAAATACTACTCTGACCAAGGCTACAATTATGTCCAAGGTTTCGACTCCAAGATCAAGTATATCCTATAAGTGTCTAATGTGTCATAAAAGTAAAGTTACAGAAATGATAAATGAAAGCAAAAAGTAAAACATCAATATCAATGAAATAGTATACATAAATGCAATTACATAAAAGTTCTCTAATGTAAATTTTTTATGTCGGCATAAACGGTGTATACTTTAAAATATATCCCTAACTGTATAATTCTTATGTAAATATTATATAATTAACAATATATTTTTAATTTTTAGACATTAGGGAGACATTTTTAATATTGTAGGTCCTATAAATAGAAAAAAAACAGCCAGGAAAATTTCAATTTACGCATGTGATGGTGGGTTTGTTCTGTTAGAAGTGAAAACGGTCACAAGGTGTTGAATTTAGAGCTGAGGTTTTCTGATACTTCCCAAGGCTCATATTATTGCCACTTCCGGCTTATTTGTGCTTGAGCAAATCAAATTAATTTTGAAATGGTGGCAATCTCCAAAATATACCTGTATTCCTGTCTTTATTTTAGTTTATGTTTTCCTGTGTAGGTCAGTAATAATCTGTAAGAGACTCACAGGTAACAACTTAATTTAAGATGGATTCTAGTTGAAGATATTTTCTTTCTTTCAAGCCTAGCTCTTGAGTATTAATAATTACTGAGTATTCTTAATTGTTTAAATATACATTGCACCTGAAAACTTGGGGAGCTTATATCAGCCTAATGGTTTCATCCTGATTACTGAGGTAAAAATACATCACATCAGTGTGTGTGTGTGTTTAGGGTTGCTGGATGCCAAGAGGCACCTGGTGAATTGTTTTGAATTAGCTTATAAGACCAAATAAAAAGGTAGGAAATAATGAATTTATAGAAATATGACAGAGAATTTCGTTAATTTAGATTCTCATAAAACCGCATCAGAACTACCCCGAACTCCAGCCTATTGTCTCTTTAAATTAGTTCCTTTTACTTAGCATTTTTCATTTTTGCTAGACATGGCTTTTGGTTTCTCGATTGTGGCAGAAATTATTTTGCTTAAGGCTTAGTGGAGAAACTGGCTCTTATCCTCCCCTCAACGGCTTCTAAAATGTGGCCTTTTAGAAGAAGGCACGGTATCAGGTCATCATGTGTACATAAATGTTTAGACACATTTGATTCTTAGATCGCTAACATTTTAATTCACTTAAGTTTCCACATGTAAGCATGCCTTTAGCTACTAGTACATCCCCGTTGGCATTTTGAGTCGCTGTTATTTCTTTGGGAAGCAGTTGAAAGACAGCCTATACTATTACATCGTGGTGCCTCTAAGATGAGCACTGAGTGCATTCCCATGAGTCAGCAAAAGCATCAACCTGCATGTTCTAGTTAGGAGAATCAGATCATACCAGGGATTGGTTACCTGTAACAAAAAATGAATTCAAACATCTTAGTTACTCAATATATCCTTCGAGTGTGTGTGTGTGTGTGTGTGTGTGTGTGTGTGTGTGTGTTTAAAGAATCTTTTATCCTCTTAGATTTTTAAAAATATGTTTTCAGATGATAAAAAGGTATTTTCATATGATGGGATTTATGAAATCAAAGTCTGGCTTCTAATTCCTGTGCACCAGCTGTATTGGTCTGAGCAGACAGCTGTGCCTTAGTCATGAACTCTGTCCGGCTACTTAGGCTTCTGTGTCTCAGCGTTACTGTGAGCATGTGCAGTATTTTGTGCTATTGGGTTTTTTAAACATGGTTTTACATAATAATTTTCTTTTATTGAATTTCTTGCTTCTAGTATGTTTCAGTCAAGAAATGACTTCAGATAGTACTTTTGCCCCTAAAGGCAGGAAGTTAACTTTCTTCATTAACTGTATTGCAGGGTTGGCTAGTGGATCTCCTCAACAAATTCGGCACTTTAAATGGGTTCCAGATTTTGCATGATCGTTTTATTAGTGGATCAGCATTAAATGTTCAAATAATTGCAGCTCTTATTAAGTAAGTTGTGTTTTAAACTAAATCTTCAGTGCATTCTAGAAATTGCTCGATAAATTGAGTTTCTCTTTTCAAGTATGGTTTCTTCTTTAACTGATAACTTGGATTTTTAAAGTTAATATAAATAGTCGAGTTCAGTCCTAGTTCCTTGTAAGAAATCATGTATTACAAGAGTAATCCTTATTGCCTTTCTTATTTCAGACCATTTGGACAAAGCTACGAATTTCTCACTCTTCACACAGTGAAAAAGTACTTTCTCCCAGTCATAGAAATGGTTCCACAATTTTTAGAAAACTTAACTGATGAAGAGCTGAAAAAAGAAGCAAAGAATGAAGCCAAAAATGATGCCCTCTCAATGATTATTAAATCTTTGAAGAATTTAGCATCAAGGGTTCCAGGACAAGAAGAAACTGTAAAAAATTTAGAAATATTTAGGTTAAAAATGATACTTAGGTAAGATATTTTACCTCTTGAAACAATTATTTATTGGACACTTAGAATCATACTTACTGAGTTTCTTTTACAGATTATTGCAAATTTCTTCCTTCAATGGAAAGATGAATGCACTGAATGAGGTTAATAAGGTGATTTCTAGTGTCTCGTACTACACTCACCGGCATGGGAACCCTGAGGAGGAAGAGTGGCTCACAGCTGAACGAATGGCAGTAAGTCCTTGATTTTCCTCTCATGAATATACCCAAGGCAAAAGAGAGAATAGCTCTACTCAAAAGTCAGTGTTTGCATTTCAGAGAAAACCGTGAAATTGAGAGGTGTTTGGATTGATTTATGACTCTGCTAATCCTGATAATTTTTTGCAATAGCATAGTTTATTATTTGGTAGCTAGAGGCTCAGTGCATGAAATTTGTGCAAGGGGCTCGGCCCTTGCAGCCCAGGCTTCGTCTGGACAGTCCTTCTGCTGTCCAGGCTAATTAGCGTGTTAGCTCTTTATTATATAGGATGATATGAGCATCTTAGCACACCTGTGGTCAACTTACTGCTGAAATAATTATTAGCTTGTTGGGTGGGGTTGGTTGAAAAGGAGCATATAAATACCATCTCGGAAATAGATTGGTCAGTATTTGGCACTTAAAGATTTTCAAATAGGAAATACGGTTGCTAGAATAAGATCTACATGATTTACTGTTTGATCATTTTAAGAACATAAGCACTTAACATTTATATCATTTTGACATTGAAAGTTTAGGAAACCTTATTTACCATACATGTTTGTATATATGGCATTTTCTTAACTATTGCTAATTAATACTGCTTGTAATTTTTAAAAAATTTTATTCAGTTTATTTAAACTTAAAGGGGGTGGGGGGGGGGTCAAAACAGTTCACCCATTTCTCTTATCCCCTGCCTCTTGCAACCACCCATCTGTTCTCTATGCGCTTTCTTTGGTGTGTTTATTTGTCTGGCCCCCGGTTGTCACAAACGGCAAGGTTTCATTCTTTTTGTGTGTGTGTATGGCTGAATAATATTCCAGTGTGTGCACCAGTTTCTTTACCCACTCCTCTATCAGTGGGCACTTGGGTTGCTCCCTTATCTTGGCTATTGTACAGAATGTTGCAATGAGAGTGCAGATATCTCTATGAGAGAAGCTCATTTCTTTGGGAAATGTGCCCTCTAGTGGGATTCCTGGATCATACGCCAGTTCTGTTTTTAACAAACCTCTGTCCTTTTTCCAAGCTGGTTGCACAAATTTACATTCCCAACCACAGTGTACAAGGGTTCCTTTTTTTCATCTCTTCACCAACACTTCCTTGCCTTTTCGATGGTGCCACTTTTTTAAAAAAATATATATTTCATTGATTTTTTTACAGAGAGGAAGGGAGAGGGATAGAGAGTTAGAAACATTGACCAGCTGCCTCCTGCATGCCTCCCACCGGGGATGTGCCCGCAACCAAGGTACATGCCCTTGACCAAAATCGAACCCGGGACCCTTGAGTCCACAGGCCGACGCTCTATCCACCGAGCCAAACCTGCCAGGGCTCGATGATGCCACTTTCACAGGTGCGAGGTACTAGCTCATTGTGGTTTTGAGTCGCATTTTGTCTGGTGACTGATGTTGAGCATCTTTTCATGGACCTGTGGACCATCTCGATGTCATCTTTGGGAAAATGTCTATTCAGATCTTCTGCCCATTTTTAAATTGGATTGCTTTGTTGCTATTGAGTTTTATAAGTTCTATACATACTTTGGATATTAGCTCCTTAATAGATACACGATTTGCAATTATTTTCCTCCCATCCAGTAGGTTGCCTTTTAGTTTTGTTGATGGTTTCCTTTTCTGTGTAGAAGCTTTTGTTTGATGGAGGCTTGCCTGTTTATCTTTGCTTTGGTTATAATGTAGTTTTTAAAGGAAGTATGCTGCTTTAAAAAGATGGGTCGAATCACCTTAGTGCATACTCTCTGACAGTACTGGCGAGACCTCTGTGTAAGAACTGCCCTTGTTCTCAAGGTCCCTTCTGTTTAACTGGGGAGAATGATTCGAATGTGATACAAGGTATGGAGAGGTGCCTAGTCATCGGCCCTGGGCTAGGGGTTTAGGTGGGAGACGAAAGGTTTTGTGTGTGTTGTCTGTCCATTCAGGCAGATCCCTTTAAAAGCTTCTCTGTTTAGTTCCTGCTTTAAGACGATTTCCGAATTGTGTTTAGGAATGGATACAGCAGAACAACATCTTATCCATCGTCTTGCGAGACAGCCTGCACCAGCCACAGTACGTGGAGAAGCTGGAGAAGATTCTTCGTTTCGTCATCAAAGAAAAGGCTCTGACCTTACAAGACCTTGATAATATCTGGGCAGCACAGGTATGGAATGTAGAATAGTGGCTATTTGAATTTTAAAAGAAAGAAAGACGTTAATACTAAGGAAATAGAGTAGTTGGTAATATTAATATATTTAAATGCTTGTTGTTTACAGCGATCCTGTCAGGAATCTTTTTGAAATAGCCAATAATACATTTTAATAAAGATATATAACATTATCTACAGGATGTATTTGGTCATTGTGGGTGGTTTTAAATAAGAGGCAAACTGTGAAATAAGGAATGTCTATTAAAAGAGTGAAGGACATCTCTAATTGGTTTCTTCAAAAACAATACAAAGAAAAAGGTCACTGTGAGGAGTGAGATCACTAGATTGTTTATAAAAATCTATAATTAAAGGACTTCTAGTTTCTCAGAAAGAAGAGAAAACACCTTTATTTCAGGGCTGGAAACTGATTGTTTTTCTCCTACGTGCAGTGTTAAAATTGGCACATTAAATTCAATAACGAAGGTTCACGTGAATTCCCATGCATATCAAAAAAATTAAATTGTCAGGTTTTAGATGGCAGTTTTAAAGCATTTAAAATGTCACACATTTTTTATGTTCGTGTTTACACAGATGGAGCTGGGAATACTTTATTAATTAACTAGAGGGCGGGGGCGGGAGGGGAGCACAGGAGGGCTCCAGGGCGTGTCAGGCCCATCTCCCAGTGCCAATCAGCTGGACCCCAGCAGCAAGCTAACCTACCAGTCAGAGCATCTGCCTCCTGGTGGTCAGTGCGTATAATAGCGACTGGTGGAATGAACGTGTAGACACTTGGCATATTAGGCTTGTATTATACAGGATGGTTGTCAGCAGGCCCTACACACTCCTTCCGTGCTGTTCAAAGTCTCTGGTTTTCTTTGGGTTTTCACTAGGCGGGGAAGCACGAGGCCATTGTGAAGAATGTACATGATTTACTGGCAAAGTTGGCCTGGGATTTTTCTCCTGAACAACTCGATCATCTCTTTGATTGCTTTAAGGTAAGAATTAACATAAATTAAAGGAGCACCATTTTATTTTTAATAAATTTCACTTCTTAGATCTGTGAGTTGTTCTAGATCAGTGGTTTTCTACCTTCTGGCCCTTTAAATACAGTTCCTCATGTTGTGACCCAACCATAAAATTACTTTCGTTGCTACTTCATCACTGTCATGTTGCTACTGTGATGAATCGTCATGTAAATATCTGATATGCAGGATGGTCTTAGGTGACCCCTGTGAAAGGGTCATTCGACCGCCAAAGGGTTCATGACCCACAGGTTGAGAACTGCTGTTCTAGATAATCACTATGAAGAATTCTGTGCTCAGCCATGTTTCTGTGATGAATATATAGCTAATCTGGGGACTGGAAGCAGTGAGAAAGAAATACGTTGTTTCATGTCATTTAAATGTCTTTTCTAGGCGAGTTGGACAAATGCAAGTAAAAAGCAGCGGGAGAAGCTGCTGGAGCTGATTCGTCGTCTTGCGGAGGATGACAAGGACGGTGTAATGGCGCACAAGGTGCTGAACCTCCTGTGGAACCTGGCCCACAGCGACGACGTGCCCGTGGACATCATGGACCTGGCCCTCAGCGCCCACATCAAAATACTCGATTACAGCTGCTCCCAGGTGAGCGGGTGCTGCTTGGCGCGCGTCTCTCTCTCTCTCTCTCTCTTTCTCTCTCTCTCTCTCTCTCTCTCTCTCTCTCTCTCTCTCTCTCTCTCTCTCTCGGGCTCTTCTTCACAATTAGGGTGGCTTAGCTACAGAATAGTCTCAGGTTATTCCAATATTTTTGAAGTAATTTTCAAGGATTGATTTACTTTGTTTGTATAAGTTTACGTCCTCTTCTTAGGTGTTTGGGGTGTCATCTGAAAAGCGTTTTAGTCTCCTTGGGAGAAAGGCAGTACAGCCCACACAGGCAGTATAGTGGTGGTGGTTTGTTACATGTATGGTGCTGAAATGCCACTTTCAACCACATCATGAGATAGAAGATATTAAAGCTGGGTAGAGACTTCAGATGGTGAGGAAAGTTACGTTTTCTTTGCTTATAGAGAAGTTAGAAAAAATTAATAAAATTTCCTAAACAGCAAAGCATTCAGTGCCTTTTCCTGCAAACAAATGACACAACAGCTTCCCTGCATTCTAACTTGTGGTATATGTATCCTTTTAATTCATGCATGGACATTGCTGAACAACCAGTTTCTCACTTAATTAGAGCTATTTGCTACACCGATGAACTGAAATTTCAGTAAGAGCTGAAATAAGCTCAAGTAGGTGTGTGTGACAGATGCTACTGTTTTTTGACTCTGCTTGTTTGTGACCGTTCGTTAAGTATTTATTTAATATAGCAACCAGTAACTGGAGACACACAAAACAATTCGAACTTAAAATTAAGTGCGCAGACCTGCATTTCTGATTATTATTGACTGGGGAAGGAGTAAAGTACATGAGGTATGAGAAGTAAACATGGTACATGAAATAACGTTGGCTCTAACTGTGCTTATACACGTTTCTGGCCCTTTCTCTCCTTGTGTGTATGTGGACATATCCTTGTTTTTATTTGTGGTGAAACTTAGTTGCCATACCATCATTGGCAAAAATATCCTCAATGTTCCTCGGTGTACTAAAAGCAAAGCTGTGAAGTGTAACCATCAGGGTTCTCTGTTATTGCTGAATTTTATTATTTGGTAGAATCTCTAAAACCATTGATATAGCTCAATGCCCACTTCCTGGCAAATGTTTCAAATCCCAGTTTCTGTCAGTGTGCCTAATGCTTCATCTCTAGACCTTTGTGTAGCTAGCTATAGCTGTATCTGAGTCTCTGTCATAGCGAACTTTTCTAATGTCTTACTTTTTAGAGTTTTGATAGTAAATGTGAAATAAACATGTACTTAAAGCAACTTTTCAAATTATCATTGACCTCTTTACTGCAGTTACGGCATAATGTTTGTGTTGCTTATCGTACAAGAGAAGCTCTGTTTTATAATTGTGAAAGCTATATTGACCTGTATAAAACATTGAAATCGTTTAAGGACCGTGACACACAGAAGATCCAGTGGATAGATCGCTTTATAGAAGAACTTCGTACAAATGACAAATGGGTCATCCCCGCTCTGAAACAAATTAGAGAAATTTGTAGTTTGTTTGGGGAGGCACCTCAGAATTTGAGGTAAGGCTTTTAACAGAACATTTCAGCATTTTCATTGATGGCTTTTGAAAAGAAACAGCAGCATTATCAGCTGGTAAAAGCAAACAAGAAAATTAGACTGGGCCAATCGGCTGAGAGAAGAGTTTATTTGGAAGAAAAGATTATCATAACCACCTCCTTGGTTTTACTGATGAGGAAGTAAGCTACAGTTAAGTGATACATATCACAAGCAAGACAATAATACTGCCTTCAGGTTCTGGGTTCAGAATTCCCTCTTCCTTCCAGCAAGTGAGCCGGGCAGTTTCATGGCTTGTGCTGCGTCAGTTTCATCTCTCATTTCCGTTTTTCCTTCCTGCCCGTGTCCCTTTCTGCCCAGTGTCTGCCCCTTATAAATATATTATCTCACTTGCTAAATTGTGATTCCTGGAATAATTTGTCCTTGTATTGTTTGGTTACAGAGTTGGAATTGATAACATGAAAAAGAAAAGGGTGGGGAAAAGAGAGCTGGGTGTAATGCAGAACGTATTCACAGTGGAATCAGGATTCCTAGGTTATGACCCTTGTAGCCAAACAGTCATATCATTTTGTCAAGATTCTCTAAACGAAAGAAATGTATTTTCTTTTCTTTTTTAAATGTATTTTTATTGATTTTTTACAGAGAGGAAGGGAGAGAGAGAGTTAGAAACATCGATGAGAGAGAAACATCGACCAGCTGCCTCCTGCACATCCCCCACCGGGGATGTGCCCAAAACCCAGGCACATGCCCCTGACCGGAATCGAACCTGGGACCCTTCAGTCCGCAGACCGACGCTCTGTCCACTGAGCCAAACCGGTTTCGGCAGAAATGTATTTTCTTATACGTATAAAATTAAATGATTGCCAAGATCTTTTACAACTCTCGATTATTACGATTATGCCTAATACAGAAAAGGCCACGTGTTTTGGTTTTAACACTTGAAATTTGTCTTCTGCTGTGTGTGTGTGTTTTTTTTTTTAAGGCTAGAAAAATACTATGAAATTACAAAAACTAGGAGTAAACAGTGGAGAAAATTTAAATTCTTTACTGTAATTACTGCATAATTTTTGTGGTGCTAATCTGGCAAGGAGTGTTTCTATTTTATAATTCTACAAATAGTTATGCAAACTTAAGTGCTTTGGCACTAGTATAACATGAAAGTAGAAATCGGTTATTAAAGTAAACGCCCATTGGTGTGGTAGTGAAGAATATTAATGTATTTTGTGTGTAAAATAATAATGGTTTGTTTTATTTTTGGTGGCATTGGTTTTCTTTTAAATTGCTTGCCACTAAAGTTAAATGACCAAAAGTACGCTTCTGTTATGAAAGAACCCATTTGAAGTTTTTCAATTAGTAGTTAAGAATTTAGAGTATATAAGCTCTTTTGATTCCAACAGAATTAATTGCCTAATTATATTGTTAAGTTCTTCTCGTTTCAGTCAAACTCAGCGAAGTCCCCATGTATTTTATCGCCATGACTTAATCAATCAACTCCAGCACAATCATGCCCTAGTTACTTTGGTAGCAGAAAATCTTGCAACTTACATGGAAAGCATGAGACTGTATGCTAGAGGTATGTACTACAAGCTAACAGGAATTATGGGAAATGACAGCAACTTCCCTTCCCAGCTGGGGGGCGGGGTCAGCATTAATTACCTTCAAAATGACAACAGATATATTTTGTGTTCCTTTCTTAGCTTATGACCCACTTTCACTTTCCTCTTAACTCTTACACACTCTTAACCTCTGGCCAGCATTTCAAGGCTCTTTAGTCTTTGCCTGCCCCACTCTCCTTGTTAAACTTTTTTCCTTCCCTGCCTGGAGGCTGTGACCACCTGTCCTACAATTGTTTATTGCTTTCTTAGGTAGTACTTGACTCATTTTCATCTTTTGTGTCCTTAATACCACCACCATTATCTTTCCAGGAAAACTTTTTTGTCTAAGTCTGTTCCATTAAGTGCCTCGATTTATGAATTAAAAATTCACAAGTAGGGAGATGCAAGGCTACAAGAATCCACATGTTTTCATGGGTTTCATACAAGAATCCACATGTTTTCATGGGTTTCAAAGTGTGAAGTTGTTTAAACATGTCACTGTCGAGTTTCCTGTTTTTGTAACAGCCAATCTGTAAGTGCCGCCATCGGTGGAGCTCCGTTTCAATGCCCTTTTGCCCTCTGACAGTTGTAGAGTCTGTGTGCTGGAGTTCAGAGGTATTCTTAGTACATATTCCTCTCTCTCATGCCAAATTCATAGCGCACACGCACCCCCCAAAAAACACACAAAAACTGTCCTATAGGCTCAAGTTTGTTCCCATAGCTATGGAAAGGAAACCGTGTATAACCAATGTTAGAGGTAGAATTGAACATAATGATTACTGAACATACCATTTCTTGACATTTTATAGTAGACTTTGCAGAAGTCAATAATACATATTTTTAAAATATATTTTATTGATTTTTACAGAGAGGAAGGGAGTGGGATAGAGAGTTAGAAACATCGATGAGAGAGAAACATCGATCAGCTGCCTCCTGCACACTCCCTACTGGGGATGTGCCTGCAACCAAGGTACATGCCCTTGATCAGATTCAAACCTGGGACCCTTCAGTCCACAGGCCAACTCTATCCACTGAGCCAAACCGGTTAGGGCCGATAATATATTTTTAACCATTTGTACACTTAGTCTATAGACGCAAGCGGCGGGCCTTTTTTAATTAAATTCAAAATATCGTGGCAGTTACCTGGTTAAAATGAGGGTGTTTCTAATGCTCATTATTTGAAGAGTATATTGGGTAGACTCTGCATTGTGTAAAATCCCAATATACCTATGAAACATGAGAGCTTTTCTTAACATCTATATACATTCCTATATAAAACTCAGATAAACATAAGTGTAATTGAGGGTTAACATCAGCTTCCACAGTTCGCTGATATTCTCAATTTCTGATAACTATCTCACCAATATTGCTATCCTGCCCATATTTCACCACTAGCATCTTCATCTTTGGAAGAAAACATTTCTCAGTGGTATAGTCAGCTGATTCTACCTCCTCTTTTAACATTATTTAGCTAAAGTAATAAACTTACTAAAATCCTTAACATTTAAAGTCTTTTTATGTGAATACAACACAAGATAAAACCACCTGTTTTTTGTTTTTTTTTTAAATATATTTTATTGATTTTTCACAGAGAGGAAGGGAGAGAGATAGAGAGAGTTAGAAACATCGATGAGAGAGAAACATCGATCAGCTGCCTCTTGCACATCTACCACCGGGGATGTGCCCGCAACCCAGGTACATGCCCTTGACCGGAATCGAACCTGGGACCTCTCAGTCCACAGGCTGACGCTCTATCCACTGAGCCAAACCGGTTTCGGCAAAACCACCTGTTTTCACTCAAATTTTAACTCATTGGTAGGATTGCTATAGACCTTAAAACTTTAAAACTCTTAGGAAAAAACATAGGAATAAATCTTTGTGGCCTTGGGTTAGGCAAAGCAACATTTTTAGGGGAGAAAACGTGATATATTGAACTACATCGAAATTTAAAACTTCTGCAAATGATACAATCAAAGTAAAATGATAACCCAAGAATGGGAGAAAACATCTACAGATTATGTATCTGGTAAGGGACTTGTATCCAGAATATATAAGAACTCTTACAGTTCAACAGTTAAACAACCCAATTAAGAAACAGCAGAGGATCTGTGTAGACATTTCTCCAAAGATAAGCACACGGCCATTTGGTGCATAAAAAGATGCTGGATTTCGTTAGTTATTGGGGAAATGCAAATTACAACCACAGTGAGAAACTGTACACTTACGAGGATGACAAATGAAACAACAGCAGGCGTTGGCAAGAATGAGGAGAAGTTGGAGCTTTTGTACGTTGTTTGCGGGATTGTAAAGTGGTGCAGCCACCTTGGTATACAGGTTGGCAATTCCTCCAAGTGGTAAACAGAATTGATCATACAGTTTACTCCCAGGTAATTTATATACCCAGGTGAAATGAAAACATAGTTCCATGCAAAACCTTGAACGTGAGTGTTAGCCAGAAAAGTGGAAATAACCTAAGTGTCCATCATTTGATGGATGAACAGTATGTTGTAGATGCATACAGTGGAAGGCTATTTAGCAGTAGTAAAAGAATGTTACAGCATGGATGAATCCTGAAAAACGTTAGCCTAAGCAGAAGAAAGCCAGTCACAGACCACATATTGTCAGATTCCATTTATGTGGAATGTGTCTCTTTTTGAGGTGATGGGAGATCTTATAGAATGTGAGGGTAGGCGGTGATGCTCAAATCATGTAGCTTTGACTATACTAAAAACCATTGGGTTACACATATTAAGTGGCTAGGTTTCATGGTATTTGAATTGTGTATCAATTACAGATGCTTCTTAAAGTGACCTTTTCTCATGAGTTCTGAAATGGATTCTAGACAGTTTGGCAGTTTGTAATGACAACCAATTTATGTTAGCCTTGGCCAGAGACATGAGTTAATTTAGTCTCATCTACTTTTTCCTGTTTTCAGTGGGATCTCTAATGGCTGGGCAGCATGATTCAAAAATGGGCCGTGTGGCTCAGTCTTCATTTGCCCACTCACTAATCACAGGGTTTGTTTGGAGCTGAATGTTTACAAGGAAAGGCACCACCATCTTTGTTTTCACAGCCGGGAAGCTTTTTTATAACGAAGTATAGGGCCTCTCCATTCCCGTTTAGCATAGAGGGATCTTTCTTCTTGACTTTGCTTGATCATTTGGGTCCCAGGTCTTGGTAAAGTGCTGCCACCTGAATAAAAGGGGGCGGGGCGGGGGGTGATGCTAAAACTAGTGGGCAGAGAAACAAGACAAATTACATAGTCGCAAAGTAGCTCCCCACAGATTACAGTGGAGAAACCTGGTCAGTAATTTCTTTTATAGCACATTTAATGGATCCTTCCTTTTGGTTATGTATAAGGAAAATTTATTTTTGTGGGGGAAATAGGAGCTGACTCGAAATCACCAATAATTAGTAAACTTCACGATGCCTTTTTATGTCAAGTTGATGACTTTGTAAGTGACGTCATTTTCTTTGATTAAAGTCCCAGTGATGTGGGTGTCTGAATACGCCATACATGATTTTCTTTTAATTTGCAGACCATGAGGACTACGACCCACAAACTGTAAGGCTGGGAAGTAGATACAGCCACGTTCAGGAAGTCCAAGAACGGCTGAACTTCCTGAGGTTTGTGTCAATGAATCACTGCGGCTCTATGTAAGACACAGATGAGAAAGCCAGCTTCATACGAGGTGTCGCTGGGGTCTTTTTTAGGTGGCCTTTTTCCACGCGGAAATCATTGCCTGAAAGTCACAGGACATCTCCCCATGTGTTCGTTCATTAAACATTTAGAATTGTTGTCTGAGTTTTAACTCTTCTTCTTTGCAGTGCTTGAAGAGAACACATTTTAAACTTTTATACAGAATTCTGTTCTTAAGCGCAAGTTGCCATCTTTTGAGACAACCTGCTAGAGACCCAAACTGACCGTAATGGCGTCAGAGACACTCAGGAAGTGGGGGCAAAGGGCTGCTGGACCAGCACCCGAAAGAATGCTGGGGTCCTCCGGTGCCTTGTGCACCCCAGCAGTGCTGGTAGAGGCCGTCCCGAGTCATGTGCTAATGTTACTCAGATTGGGTTCCTTAAGCCAAAGCTAAACGTAGTGGCAGGCTGAGTTTGCTCAGTGGTGTTTGGTTTTCAATGACTTTATGTATAGATTGCCTATATGTATAGATATCTATAGATTGCATCTTGGGGTAAACACGATGTAGCTCTGATGGCTTGTTTTTTCCCGTTTTTCCAAGATTCTTGCTGAAGGACGGCCAGCTGTGGCTGTGTGCCCCGCAGGCGAAGCAGATCTGGAAGTGCCTGGCTGAGAACGCCGTGTACCTGTGCGACCGCGAGGCCTGCTTCAAGTGGTACTCCAAGCTGATGGGGGATGAGCCAGACTTGGACCCTGATATCAACAAGGACTTCTTTGAAAGCAATGTGCTCCAGCTCGACCCTTCCCTCCTAACGGAAAATGGCATGAAATGTTTTGAGCGATTCTTCAAAGCTGTGAATTGTCGAGAAGGAAAACTGGTAGCAAAGAGGAGAGCATACATGATGGATGACCTGGAGTTGATAGGGTTAGACTACCTTTGGCGGGTAAGTGAAGCATTGTATGTGATAGAGCTTTTCCAATAGGGAAGGAGCCCCAGTTCTGCATGTAGGTGACATGTCTGCGTCTTCCCTGGCGCTTATCCCAGGAGGTAGTGATAGCTCATCTTAATCATAAAGGGAAAAAAAAGATTTACTCTCTTAGCAACTTTCAAATATGCACTCAGTATTACTAACTTGTCAGCATGCCATACATTACATCCTGAGACTTGGGTAATTTATAGCTGGGAGTTTGTGCCTTTTGACCAACTTCACCCATTTTACCCATCTGGCACCTCTGGCAGCCACCAATCTGATCTCTGTATCTATGAGTTCGGGTTTTTAATTTGTTCTTTGTTTTAGATTCCCCATGCAAGTGAGTTCACGTGGTATCTGTCTTTGTCCAGCTGACTGACTTCACTGAGCGTGATACCCCCCAGGTTCCTGCATGTTGTCACAGTGTGCTGTTAATTTATCATTCCTGCCTTTAAAAACCTGACCTGGTCACAGCAGTGTGTATTTATAATTTTTACATCGAATCTTTTTCTGCAAACTAGCTAGCCTAAGCTCTTCATTGTGGTATTTGATTATTTAGATTTTTGGATTAAGTAAGGGGTTTGCAACATTTTTAAATAGTTGTTAAATTTTTCAGTAATGGTTGACATGTTTTCAGCATTTTTTTAAACAGCAGAAACCCTTTTTTAAAACAAAAATGTACACACTACTCCACAACATAAAACTAGTTGAAGCGCGGAAGGAAAGCCTGTGTACTTTTTCTCCTCAGTCTCCTTGTGCTCCTCCGCTCCCTTCCCCAAGCCTGTTACATGGCTCAGCCCTAAGTCACCTCCTCAGAGTGCCAGACTTCTGCATCTAATTTCAGTGCCACCGGCATAATGAGGTGAATGATAAAGATCTGAAGAAGTTACTTGGGGCAGGTGAAATAGGTAAAGGGGATCAAGAGTACAACCTTCCAGGTAGAAGTCCTGGGGGTTTTCATGTACAGCACAGGGAATACAGTCAGTGTTGTAATAACTTTGGGGTCAAATGGTAACTAGACTTAACCGTGGCGGTCATTTCGTAATCTATACAAATAATCACTAATGTACACCTGAAACTAATATATATTGTATGTCAGTAAAAACAATGGTCTTGATTAAAACATATGTCCTTAGGAAAATGAGTCTTCCCTTCAACAAATTTCTTTATTCGAAGACTTGCCTTTATCTTCTTTATTTTGGTCTGTTTTCTCACTTAATTGTACTTGGTTTTCTTGATTATCGAAGTCGGTGTATCCTGAAATTATTGAGTACTATATGAAAAATAGCTGAGGGGATGGTTTGAATTGAAATGGCCAACTAAGATATCTTTTTGATCCTAGGTTGTGATTCAGAGCAATGACGATATTGCCAGCAGAGCTATAGATCTCCTTAAAGAGATATACACAAACCTGGGGCCAAGGCTACAGGTCAATCAGGTGAGGACTGATGTGCATTCAAACATACACAAATTGAAACTCTGGTTGAAGAACTCTTTTTCCTTTAAAGAACTTTTCTTTAATTTAGAATTAACTAGGAATTCTTTTGTTTCAGCTCTTACAAATATACCTAAAATATTTGGTCCCTATTTCTCGTATAAAATGCTGTCTAAATGAATCTTGTCCTAATAATTATCTTGAAGTGATCATTTTGAGTATGATTATGGCAAGAGATTGTGACTGAATTTCTTTTGATTCTAACACCTAATCCTGAAGTTTTCTTTTTGAGTATCTAATTTATGCTTATATGACTCTTGCTTCCTTTGACAATGCATAGCATATTTTATTATCAGTATAGACTCCCTGGCTAAAGATGATCATGGTTAATTGACGGCTACCCTTAAATGAGTTGTTGCCATCTTTGATTGGAATAAAGTTTTATGTGTGCCTTTAATTTTTACATTCCAAAGCAACTTGAACTGTCATATTTGACCCGTTACTTATAGGTGGTGATCCATGAAGACTTCATTCAGTCTTGCTTTGATCGTTTGAAAGCCTCCTATGACACGCTGTGTGTGTTGGATGGTGACAAGGACAGTATTAATTGTGCAAGACAGGAAGCTGTTCGGATGGTTCGAGTGCTAACCGTGCTGAGGGAGTACATAAATGAGTGTGACAGCGATTACCATGAGGAAAGAACAATTCTGCCCATGTCAAGGTTAGTGACAAAGTGATCCACCAGTGCTGTTGCTTAATGCCTTGGTATTTCCTAGCCAGTGTGGCTCAGCTGTTGAGGGTCGTACCGTGCACCAAAAGGTTGCTGTTCAACTCCTGGTCAGGGCACTTCTCAGGATTGGGTCAGTTCCCTGATGTGGTCCACGCAGGAAGCAACAGATCAATATTTCTTCTCGCATTGATGTGTGTCTCTTTCTCTCAAATCAATGTACCAGAAGAAAGCGTTGGGATCTTGACCATGAAGAACATTATTTGCATCTTTTAAAACCTTTGGTTAATCCTAGACCTCTTTTTGTTTTTCGGGATCTGTTTTCTGTTTTAGTTTTTTGTTCGTGTTCTCACTTGTCAAGTTTGCTCTCTTGTTTGTTTATTTTTGCCAATGACTTATTTTCTGGTAAGTGTTGCAGGACTATTTCACAGTTAAAGTGTTTTGATGCCATTCATTTACTCCGTTAAAAATAATGGCATAGTAAGATGAGAGAGTAATTGGAAAGGACTTTTTAAAGGTGCTTTGACAGAGAGCCAACATCATTTTGAGGGGGTGAATTCTGATATTAAGAGTTCTTCAGAAAAAAATGAGCACCTTAGCATTTTTGTTGGTGCTCTCAAGATAAAGTTACCTTCCACATTTGCAAAGTCCTGGTGAGTTGGGCTTAATAGCATTAAAATAAGTTACATGTTTACTCATGTCTGTTAATTTCTTATAAACTAGATGCTTCATTTTCTGCAACCATAGGTAGAGTAGCAACAATGGAATGTTGTGTTTTTAAGATCACTTATAGTATTTGTAGTTCAAAGGAGCAGTCAGTACGTTTTTATGTTCAAGACCCTAAAAATAACTAGCCTTAACTCACTTTCTCTGGTTTAATAAAAAAAATAGTCAATATTAGATTTGTAGCTTTATCTTTGCAAGAAGATTTGCAAGTTGCTGAATGTGACGATGTTTTCTCTCTTGTTCCCCCAGAGCTTTCCGTGGTAAACACCTCTCTTTTATAGTCCGGTTTCCGAACCAGGGCAGACAGGTTGATGACCTGGACGTGTGGTCCCACACAAATGACACGATCGGTTCCGTGCGGCGGTGCATTCTCAATCGCATTAAAGCCAACGTAGCCCATACAAAAATAGAGCTCTTCGTGGGCGGGGAACTGATAGATCCTGCAGATGACAGAAAGCTGATTGGACAATTGAACTTAAAGGATAAATCGGTAAGTATCTATGAATACCAAACTTTTCAAGAAAATCAAAGCCGAGGCTATCTTTATTTCCGCAGTCAACATTTCATTCAGTAAATGTGAATTGAGCATCTGTTATGTGTGAGGCTCTGTATTAGGTGTTGGAATTATAACATTAAATAAAACAGGCATCGATATTACAATGTAGGTAGAGGAAAGGCTTTCTAAAAACGAATCATATGGTTATATTAGACAACACTTGGAAAAAACATAGCACGTAGGTTTTTGTTGGTGTGTTACTGACTTAAGTCTTGTGTGTTTTCCTTGTCTTTGATACTAAATACTATGTCATTTGCAGCTAATTACAGCCAAGCTTACACAAATAAGTTCCAATATGCCTTCGAGCCCTGATAGCTCTTCTGATTCCTCAACTGGATCTCCTGGAAACCATGGTAACCATTACAGCGATGGGCCCAACCCAGAAGTGGAAAGCTGTTTGCCCGGGGTGGTGAGTAGCTTTGAGTTACTGTATGCCAGGCACTGTGCTAGCCTCTTGGAGAATAAAGACCTATATTGAATAGGGTGGTTTTTTTCCTGGAGGAGCTTGTAATTTACTGTGCCTAAATATCAAACAACTTTATAGTTAACAGTGAACTTTAGAGGGGATCCCTCTGATATATGAGAGAAATCTTTTAACAAAATAGTAAAAAAGAACTCATGTAGCAATTATTGGAGGCAGCTTGGACAGTGTATTTCTTGAAGGATTTGTAAAGGTGGGAAGAGGGGAAGGCAGACTATTTTAAAGACTAGAAATGGCATAAACAGAAGTGCGGCAGTTAAACAAATGTATTGGGCCTTCCTGGGGAGGTGTAATTTACAGGTGAACGTTTTGTGTGTTTTGTATTCTAGATAATGTCACTGCATCCCAGATACATCTCTTTCCTTTGGCAAGTTGCAGACTTAGGTAGCAGCCTAAATATGCCATCTCTTAGAGATGGTGCAAGAGTGCTTATGAAACTTATGCCACCAGGTAAGATTAACAAAAAACAAAACTAAAAATACTGCTGATAAAGTACATGCTGGCCAATAACAGGATGTATTAGCAACTTCTGTTTGTAGATGGAACACGCCTTATGGCATAGGCCAGAGCAGGAGTTGGCGATCTTCAGTCAACTGCCTGATTTCGCAAAGCCTGGGAGTGATGGGTGGTTCTTCCCCCCCCCTAAAACAAACAAACAAACAACAAAACAAAAAAAACCCTCTTTCAGATAGAATTCATGGACAGGGCCAGTGCTCTGCTCCGGGGCAACACCCTGTCATTGTACAGGTTCTCCAGAAGCCTAGAGCTTCTTTTACATCGCCATCCACAGGGATTGTATGGTCTCCCATTAGCCCATTTATTGAATCCCGCCTCATTGTAATGCTATTTTCCAATACCCTCCAGCCACCAGCTTGACCAGAATCCCTGGTCTTATTTTTAAGAGCGTAATGCCACCAGGTGGCGACAGTGAGCTCTGGCCAGGCAGCTCCAAGCAGGGAAACTTGAGGGCGCTTCTTTATTTTTCTTTCCATATTTTATATAATCAAAGTATAGGCCTAGATTTGAAATAGCCAGCTTCGAAAAGGCCAGTAATGACTGTACTATAGTATTTAGATCAGAGACTTTGGACTCAACCAGACTTTAGTTCAAATCCTGGTATGCAAAAGGGAGCTAACAATAGTAACTATTTGATATATGGTCTGGTGACTGGGACGTAATCAGTATTCAACAAATGTTAGCTTCTTTTCTGTCGCTTGGTTGCTACACACATACACTCAACACTCAAAGGAAGCAGGGGTCCTGGCCGGTGTGCTCAGTGGTTGAACATCAACCTATGCACCAGGAAGTCACTGTTGGATTCCCAGTCAGGGCACATGCCTGGGTTGTGGGCTCAATTGGAGGGAAGAGCTTCCCATTTTTTCCTTTTTGTTATTTTCATTAAGAACTTCCTTTTGAAGTGTTGTGTTTTTTTTTTTTCAGTCTCCAGTGGCTGGAGGGGGGGCTGGAGGCCATGTTGATTTGAAGTCTGAGTAGGAGGAGCCTGCTTCCTTACTGGGGTTTGGTTGGCTGATGAAAGAGCCCTGGTTTGTTTATTTACTTACTTAGCCATTCTTTAATCCAGATCTGGTTATGTCTTGTGAAGTTGGAGCCTATAACTGAACTGATTGTTACTTCATACTAAAGTCTTCAAAATATCAAAAGTGAACTGCTTATGCGTGCATGACGGATGTTTTGTCTTAGCCTGTGTCTCTCTCCTTTTCGCAGATAGCACAACAATAGAAAAACTGAGAGCGATTTGCTTAGACCACGCGAAGCTTGGAGACAGCAGCCTTAGCCCATCTCTTGACTCGCTTTTCTTTGGTCCTTCCGCTTCCCAAGTGCTATACCTGACAGAGGTTCGCTTTTTCCTTTTGAATTTTCCCCGCGTTCTTCACATTTGACCTTTCTATGCTAACTCAAAAAAGTTCCTTAGCCGTGGCGATAGGGGAAATCGGCGTTACCTTTCTAAGACCCTGAACACAGGCCTTTCCCCTTTCTTTCCCAGGTGGTCTATGCCTTGCTCATGCCTGCTGGTGCGCCTCTGGCTGAAGACTCCTCTGATTTCCAGTTTCACTTCTTGAAAAGCGGTGGCCTGCCCTTAGTCCTGAGTATGCTGACCAGAAACAACTTCCTGCCCAATGCTGACATGGAAACTCGCAGGGGTGCCTACCTCAATGCTCTGAAAATAGCCAAGCTGTTGCTGACTGCCATTGGCTACGGCCACGTTCGCGCTGTGGCAGAAGCGTTTCAGCCAGGTGTAGAAGGCGTGAATCCTTTGACATCGGTAATACGGGCTTTTTAAAAATCTATACTAATAAAAGAGTATTATGCTAATTAGACCGGGTGACTGGACATCTTCCGGACAGGGGGCAACCAGGCCGGCAGGCAGGCGAGCAGTTAGGAGCCAGCAGTCCCACCCACCGTGCATGAATTGTGTGCACTGGGCCTCTAGTCTTCTAATAATAATAGATGGCCATTTTTAAAGTTCAACTTCTCAGCAACACTTAAGTATAAAGTTCAAAGGTAAACTCTCTCAGGTTCCTTTCCAGTGATACATTATTTTAGGGGCTTTTTCTGTTAAAGTTTATTTGTATTAAAAGTGCAAATGCTTTTCACTCACTATACTTGGAGAGGCTAGTTCTTCAGTGCCCCTTTAAATCCTGTTTGACTTTCAGTTCTTTTAAACCTAATAAAGTCTCCATATGAGTTTCTTATGGACTTGTATTTGTCCTGCATTAAAGACACCAGTGGGAATAAAAAAGTTGTAATTGATTTAGCCTGTTGCCACCAGAAGTTCTCACGATTTGCCAGAATTTAATGCCTGTTAGAGGTGTAACGATGCATTTAATACTGACTAAAATTGGGAGTTATATGCATCATACGTGATGATTTGCTAAGTTACTGATAGTAGATAAAGACATCAGGAATATATTCTTTTTTTTAAGTGGCTTAGGTTTTAATCAGGGAGGTTGGAATGTTGATTAGATATGTGATATTATAATGTCACATATAATTGAGATAATAGCACTTATAATTGTTTTGGGTGTGATAATGGTACCGTGGTTATGTTTAAAAGGACTATTTCCCACCACCACCACCCTTTTTTTTTTTAAGTAGTTGCTGAAATAGAAATGAAATTATATATCCAGGATTTATTTTCAAAATATATCCTGGGCTGGTCTGGGCTGGGGAGGGGATAGAAAGCAAGGAAGGGGCATAGTTAAACAATTTTGGTCCTTTGTTAATAATTTTTGGTGCTTGCCAAATAGGCACATGGGCATTCTTAATACTATTCTCTCCACTTTTGTATATTTAGAAATTTTTCATTAGTCTCACATAGCCTAAGTCATACATTTTTTGATCCCATGTTTGTGAGGATAGAAAGCGTGGTTCGGGATTAGCTAAAACGTTCTCATCACAGTCCCTGGTGCGGGTGCTTAATGGCACGCACAGGAGGCAGGGCCATGCTTCCCCCTCACTTGTCCCCTTTACAGCATTTATTCCGAAAATGGGCCATGTGCCTACAAAGGTACATAATGGTTCTACTTAAACTGTGGAGAAGGGTCAGTACAGCTTGAACAGTGGTCAGAATTGCCTGAAAAGAACTCCTTCAAAGTCATCTTTTTCTTGTGGGTTTAAAAACGTGGTTATTCTATTAAGTAAAACACTGATACCTTTCATATTTTTGCACTTCTATTCTGTTACTGATTTTTCTTAATTTTTTTCCTTTTCAAAGAAGAATTTGGTCATCAGGGCCCAGGAGCAGGTCTGCCCAGGAGCGTGTATGGGAAAGATGTGGAGCAGTTTACAGGGTCTCTAGCTAGGGCTGCCGCCTGTCGGTTCAGTTCACTGCCTCACCCTCACCCTTACAGTGATGCTGAGCCCAGAGCTGGGGCAGGAG